AGGGACTGGGCATACAGCACTGAGACCACTTAGCAAAAGATTTACCCTTGAGAATTTAGGTTCTGCTGTGGAGAGACAGTAGACAGATGGATAGGTAGACAGATAGATGATAGAAATATAGTATACAGAGAGGCAAATAATACATAAATGTATAAATGCAGTATCTAGATATATAGAATAGAATTATAAATAGTATATAGAGGTAATAGATACACAGCATTATAAACGACAGATACATAGTACATAGATACATAGATAGGTCATAGATCAATGATGATGAGAAAGATTATAAAGATAGACAAATAACAGACTAAAAGTGAAAACCATTTAACTGCCTCAGTAGATGCAGGAAAGTCATGACGATTTCTGACACTTGGGTGCAAACCTGGAGCAGGCGAGGAATAGCAGGGAGCCCGGCCTGACCAAGAGCTCCTCCAAGAGACGCACTGGCGCCACCCTGAAGCGCTGAGTGTTCGCCCAGCATCCAGACAAAGGGGAGGAGTTGCTGCTCCACATTCTCCTGAATTCCCAGCCACTGCTGTGAGACAGGAAGCAGTGGAAGCCACGCCACGCTGACAGGAAGCCATCCTTATCCACAGATGCCAGGCCGTCTGTGTGAAAGCCCCACTGAACTCATGAAAAAGCACAGATCTACTGGAACAGTCAGTGGGTGTGGGAGGCTGGGGACTTGAGATTTGAGGCCCGAAATGCCCGGATCGATGCTGCTCCACCTGAGGCTGCAGAGATGACCCTGGGAGCTGTGCCTGACGGGGTGCGGCAGCTGCAGAGCAAGGGCATGGGGAGGTGGGATGGATCGATGGGGCTGGGGGATGGGAGCCTGCGCCCAGAATGGGGCTGCTGGGGACTGAGGGCAGGTGGTGCTGGGCCTCTCCCGGCCTGAGGCCCATGCACACTCTCTGGGGGCTGGGCCATCCTCTCAACACCAACCGTACATGAGCTGGTCTCGGGTCTGAAGAGCCCGCCAGCCCTGAGGCTCAGGGCCTTTGAGCAGGGCAGCAGGGCTGACAGGAGGTACAAAAGTGAGGCAGAGCAGAAGCCACATGAGGGAGCGGGGACTGGGCATTAGGGTTATGTCGCTGGAGGTGATGTCCTCCCACCCCGGCCCTGCTGCCACAGTGGCGTCCGAGGGGCCACAAAGAGTGGATACACCAGCTTTCCTCTCTATCCACTTTCTGAAGGGTGCATAGGGGCCCCCACTTCTCAGCTACTGTGGACAGTGGCAGTGTCAGGGGCACAGGTGTCCCTCTGACATGCTGCTGACAGTCTCCTCGTGCACGTATCCAGCAATGGACACTGATGCGCTTCAAGGATGGTGACACCCACTTCTTGTGGGTCACACAGAGCCAGCTACACCACACACAGGATTGTGGTCACTGCTGTTGCCAGGACCCAGGTCCTTCCTGCAGTGCACACCCCCACTTGGTGCACAAGACAGCTGAGGGCTGCAGAGAAACAGCACCCAAATATCCCCTGGTGCGGGGGAAGCAGGGTCCCTTTCAAGCCACTGTGCTCCATGTGTCCACAGGGTGGCAGTGTTGGCCCAGAAGTAGGTGGCCGCTGGCACATGCCACCCCCATCCGTGGCTCCTCCAACCAAGCAAGCCCTTTTGCTGAGAGGTGGGCATCCTAATCCCCTAAGACAGCTGCAGCCCAGGGACCACAATCACAGGCAACTCAACCACACATCCTCAGTCTGACCAGAGCCTCGGATCCAGGACTCCATGGTGCTAGGACGTTGTTATCCCCAAACTCCATTTTCTTGCGTTTTAAAACATCATCTATGGCTCCTGCTTGCAGAATCCTAAGATTCCAGACTGGAGGCCTCTACTCAATCATTTGCTCTGGGCCCTGTGGTTCAGTGGTTTCTGTGACTTCTTCAGGGCCTCTCCACAAGCCACATGAGGAGGCCTTGCATCCCTGACTCCCAGACCACGCTTTTCTCCCCTTCTGGTACAGACAGAGACCCACATCCCCCAGTGCCCAGGCAGAGCAGGCTCAGGGCCGCAGGAACCAGCACGAGAAGATCGGGCTCTGCCCCATCGAAGGAGAGACGGGGCTGGGCTGGACACCAAGCCCACCAAGGAAGACAGGCCTGATGGAGCCCAGGGGTGACTACCGGGAACCAAAGTCCACTTTGGAGCCCAAGAGCCACCCACCCCGGATCGAGCATGGGAGTCGGTGTGGGAAGGGACATCGTGACACACGCCTTTGCTGGAGCCCCAGCAGCGTACCAAGGCTCAGATTGGGCACGGCAGGGGGAGAGGAGGTTGCAGGCACAGGAGGGGCTGGGGGACTGAGGCCAGGCCCACCTCCTTCCCTTGTTCTTTGCCGCTGCACCCTGAGTGAGGGGCTCTGGCTGCGTCCCCAGGGTGTGCTGTGGCTGAGGTGCGTGTGAATGTCCCCTGAGCTGCAGCAAGATCCCCAGGTGAGCAGGAGGTGGAGGCTCTGCGGTTCGATAAGGTCAGAGGGAGCCCCATGACCGAACACCGGGGCTCAGGAGAGGGAGGAATCAGAAGGGACAAGGTGTGCACGCACGCACGCACACACGTGCCCCCTGCCCCACTCAGGACGCAGGAAGCCTTGGGGAGGCAGCCCCTCCACCTGGCCTCCAGAGCCACGGGCAGAGCCACCTCTGGAGACGCTCAGACCTCTGCCAGCCATACCTCTCAGGCCCACAGGGACCCAGCTGCTGGGCCACCATTCACCGTGGCTGTGGGGACACAGATGTCGCCCCCCACCCCCACTGGCTCAGAAGCCACCCCAGAGGGTGGGAACATCATGGGCACAGTCCCCCAGCATGGGGGCTCGTGACCTCCGCATGTGCAGGGACTGGCTGCTGTGGGGAGCAGGTCCACTTGGCGCTGCAGCTAGGACATGGTCTGGGGCTCCGGAGCAGAGGGACAGCCACCCACCTGCAGCCATGGCAGGGCAGGACGCCAGGCCATGCCCACAGCACGGGTGCTGGGCAGTTTGTTTCCTTCCTTCCAGAGAGCCAAGAGGGTGGAGTGCAGGAGGCCCTGGGTCCCCACCCTGCCCAACTTGTTCCCCTGGGGGTCTCTGTGGTGGAGATCCTGGGCCTCAACCTCCCTGGCTACCCAAACCCTTCCCTCAACTTCTTGTTGCTGGAGGAGGGAAAAGAAGCAGCAAAGGATGAACCGGCCCGAAATGGAGGAGGGCTGGGGCCCGTCACGCACAGGGCGCCCAGTGCCGCACACAGCAGGCCCTCCCTCCTCGCCGGGTCCTCCGCAACTTCTCTCCCCGGAAGCTCTGCGAGGAACCCCGAGTGCCCTGGAAGAAGGTCCTCCCCAGGATCACCCGAAGTGGGAATTTTGTTCCACCAAGCCCTGGCTGAGCTCGGGGCTCAGCTCTAAGCTGTCCAGCGGCCATTCCTCTCGGATGTTCGCTCCCGGCTCCACAGCCCCTCGCTGCTTGCAGGGACTCAGCTGTGCCTGGCAGCTGAGCTCCGGCAGGGCGCTCCGGGAGGCCGGGTCCAGTCTGTCTCCGCGGGTCCGGCCGGGCGGCACCCTCCTCCCTGCATTGGGAAAGCCGAAGCTCTGGGTGAGCCGGGCCGGGAGTCCGCCTGTCCGGGCGCTGCCCTCGGGTCCCTCTCCAGCCAGCGCCGTCGGGCTCTGGGCAAAGCCTGGGGAGTGCAGGGTGTCGCAGAAACTCCAGACGCAAGCGAAGAGCACCGGCACCTGCCCGTGGCTGCCCAGCACCCCCTGACCCCCAGCCTCCGGGGGCGCGGGGTCTTCCCTGGGCCCTCTGGGGCCCTGCCCAGGGCGCAGCTCAGAGGGCCCAGGGGTGGGACTGTGCCCGGTGGGGTGCCAGGCCTCCGCCCTGCGCAGGACACGGGGGTTGAGCTGGGGCTCGGTGGGGACTCAGCCAGTCCCTCCCGCCACACCTCGCCGGTGCCGGTGTCGCCTCAGCCTGAGGCCTCGGCTGTGGGCTGCCCTCCACTACACACCGAACAGGGATCCTGAGCTGGGGGCGGCCGCCCGTGCCTCCCCTACTCTGTGCTTCCAGTAGCCCCAGGGGAAGCGGGAACCTGGACTGAGTCCTGCCCTCCCCAAATTACACAACTGCCCGGGCTACGAGGAGCAGGCAAAGGACTCAGAGCCAGGAACGGCCGCGCTGCAAGCGACCTTGGACGAGTCTCTTTCCTCCTCCATCGCCACAGCCAAACCCCTCCGCCGCCCAAGGGGCCGCTTCAGAGCCAACTCAGGTCCAGGTCCCTACCCAGCGCCAGTGGCTGCGCTTCCCGCGCCCCGCCCAGCGCCAGGGGCGCCCGCACTCCAGCCGGGTGCGAGGGTCCGCTGCTCAGGGACAGGACAGCAAGGAACGGAGCGCCAGCGCGGGGCAGGAGCAAGTGGCGGGCGGTGCCTCTCCACGGGCGCATCGGCGCACGCAGCCGCCGAGTCTCCGCGCATCTCGCACACCTGCGCCGCGCCGCACCGCACCGGGCGCCCGCGCTCCGCTCCTCACCTGGCTCCCCGCGCGCCTGCAGGAGGGGCGGGAGCTGGGCTCCAACTCCCAGGGCCCCGCCCGCGCGCCCCGCCCCGCCCGGCGCCCTGCGTTGCCGTGGCAACCCCTGGAGCCCCAGGCGCGCGCGCGCCCGCGGGAGCGCTCGACAGCGGCAGTGGTGGCGGCGGCTGCTCGGGCTCCAGCCGCGCGCGGTGACCTCGCTTCGCAGCCCGCCCGTCGCCCCCCGCCCGGCCCAGCCCGGCCC